GAATCATCCTCAGGTAGTGTAGATTCAAGTTTGTTCAAATCATGACCCCCGGGGCAAGGGTGGGGCCAAAATGGCCGACCCTAGTTTTACATAGGAATATAGGAAAAATCTTCTCAAGAACAATTGAGACAAGAAAGATGAAACTTATGTGGAATCATCTTCAAATAGTGTAGATTCAAGTTTGTTCAAATCATGACCCCCGGGGCTAGGGTGGGGCCAAAATCGCCGACCCAAGTTTTACATAAGGATATATAGGGAAACCTTTTAAAATCTTCTTTTCAAGTACTTCAAAGCTATGATTAGTGATATTTATATGAAATCATTCTCAGGTAGTGTAGATTCTAGTTTGTTCAAATGATGACCGCCTGGAGAGGGGGGGGGGGGAGTAAATTCAAGCCCGATGTGCTCAGGTGAGCGCTGTGGCCCCTGGGCCTCTTGTTTTTAATTGAGTATAAAAGATTCGTAGAAAAAAATATTAAAACTATAATACAGAAAATTCAGAGAAGATATGTTTGAAAGTAAAACACGCTCAATAGTATCATCAGTCCATGCTCAGTGTTCTGTAAAGAGTTTAAGAAAATGAATACACCTTTGAAACATAAACTGTTTATTTATAAACAGGGCTCAGCTCTGTCATGTCTGTTATTGTTGATGTTTACACTGGTTGTGTTCAATTGTTAAAGTCAGCACACACCACTGAGCATGGACTCACAATATACTGTGAGCACATTTTCCTTTTGAAAATATTTACTCTGAATTTTTTATATTATAGTTTTATTTTATTTCACTAATATACAACAAAATTTACACTTTTCTTAAGTATTGAGAATAAAATTATAATCTGCGGAAATGCAAGGACATGTTAATCAAACCCGACCAGAAATTTGGAGTTTCAATAACTTCAAAATGAAAAACAGATATTTGTTATATTTCCTTGTGAAATGCTATTGGAATATATAAGTTGTAATATTATACAGAAAATTTGAGAAAATTTTCACTTCAATCTGTGTCTATGCACCTTTAAATTCTTGCAATATGGAGATATCACATTATCTGCCCACACCCCCTTTTTCCAAAATAACTCTTTTTACTATTGAATTTGTTCATTGAAAGGTTATTTGCTCCTTCCCCCACTTTATCTTGCAGTAAAGGTAATGAGAGTAAAGAAAAAAGGGTATTGTTACTTGTATGCTTTTGCCTCCTTCTCCCCCCTTAGTTACGTCCCTGCCTTCGGGCGACAGTTGGTAGTTTATTGGCCATTGTTTTGCCTGATTTGAAACCTTTTATTCGTAGGTTGACCAATTTTTTGTCTGTTGGACAAGGAATCAACTAATTGAAACATAAAACTAGTATGATGTATGTTAAGAATTTATTCAAAGCGTAAACTTGTGATTACAATGAGAATTTAAATTAATTTACACCTCTGACACAGCAAATATATGGAAAAAATACAATTTTGTTAGTTCAAGCTAATTTTACTCTACTTTCACACACATATGTAAAAGGGAAAATAAGATGTGTTTGTTAAACACTGATGCCCCCGTATGGCAGATTTTCATAAGTTTAAGTTTTTCAAATGCGAGTCAAACTCCAATTTCAAGAGCTGAAATTGTTACCCTAAGAAAGGACCTGTCAAAACAAATATACCTGTGAAATATAAAATCATAAGCACTTACCACCATTCAAGTTTTATGGACAAAGTCTTTGAAATGTGGATCAAAGGGTCAAATTAAAGATATCCAGGGGAAGGCTTTGTCATAAGAAATACACATGTGAAATATTAAAGCCCTTGCGCCAAGTGTTTAAAAGTTAAGGCCAATGTTAAAGTTTTTCAAAAGTAGTTCAAACTCCAAGGTAAGGTCACTTAAATTTGTTGGTATCCAAAGGAAGGCCTTTTCACAAGAAATACAAGAAACACATTTCTAGAATATGAAGATCCTAGTATTAATTGTATAAATACGTTTTGTATAGATTAACTGTTCATAAGTTATTCCAAGGTTAAAGATTTTTGAAAGTTGGTCAAACTCCAATTTCAGGGTTTTAAAAGTCAAAAATGTGTTCTTGGAGGGTCTTATCACTATAAAACAAAACACATGTGAAGTATGAAGACAATAGCACCAATTATCTATAGTTATGGCCTAGATCAAAGTTTGGTAAATCTTTGCAAAGGAGTGTAAACTC